GTACAGCATTTACTTATTTACCTCTTACCTGCCTGAGAGTGGGTCAATCAGAGGTTGCCCTGTGATTGGCCACATTCCTGTAGGTGGAGTCTTGGATCAGTGATGTTTGAGGTTTAAGCTCAAACATTACGTTTTCATCTCATAATTGTTGACTAAACTCTTGGGTTTGCACTTTGCACAAATTTCAAAATCAAAACTCCACCAATACGAATCTGCCGACAGGAATTTGGGCCAATCAGAAGAGATCTAGCTGTCGGTTTGTTTTAACTAGCTGGTGCAGGGATTGATGAGTCAGGAGAAAAGTGTTTTTTTAGATGTCATTCATACTACATCTCTTTTTGAGCTCTGGACAGATGTGAGGTCTTGCGGCTTTTCTGAAGGGGCCAGCAGGAAACTGCTACTTTCCCTTCCACTTTATGATTCTGTCACAAATCTGGAGAATAGCTGAAATGTTTTGGCGAGAAACCAAGACGTTTTTTTCTTTTCTCTCTCTTTTTTCCTCAGCCTTCTTTTTCCTCACACCAATTTGTTTTATCTGGCCAGCATCTGTAAGGGTCAAGCTTCTGTCTCACAGCCTGCAAATGTCAACTGAACTCTTAAAGCCGAAAATTCCTGTTTACTCTGTACGGATTGCAAAACCACCAATAGGAATCGAGCTGCGTTAGCGTGGGCCAGTCAGAGGAGAGGTTGTTGTAAGTCTCTCTTTCACCAGCTGCTCCGGTGATTAATGATTTGGATGGAAAGTGGATTCTTTTTATTCTGTCGTTAGGCTGTAAATTGTAAATGTTATTAGCCCGTGGCTGTGTGAACTCCCTCATCGTTACTGGCTATTTACCATTGAACAGGCTGATTTATTTCTGCTGCGCAAACCATCTGAAAGCATCTCGGTGAACCATGAAATGACAGGTACTAACCGCACCTGAGGAAAACCTTTCACAGACACAGACACCGCTCAGATGTGTACTGTACGCAGGGTGGGGATGGATAGGAATGCAAGTATTGGGAATATGTATTCAAAATACAGAAGTTAAATGTCAGTATTCAGTCCAAGTTACATTTTGTGAAGGCAGAATTTAGAATACAGTAACCTTTTTACATTTTAAAGAGAATACATTTGGTATGCTTATCCACTAAATTAAAAAAAAAAACATATACCATCTTTAAAGGAACACCATTAGTTCTTGGTTATTAATTATTTTCAAGCATGAACCAGACATGATTGTTAGACGGACATCAATTAATAACTTCCTTACAAACACTGAGGTGTCTACTAAAGTCTGAGTAGACTGACAAATCAATGTAATCAGTTATTAATCTCAGTGTTACTGAGCTCTGCTAAAGCCTGAATAGACTGATAAATCAATGTGATGATCAGTTATTAATCTCAGTGTTACTGAGCTCTGCTAAAGCCTGAATAGACTGATAAATCAATGTGATGATCAGTTATTAATCTCAGTGTTACTGAGCTCTGCTGAAGCCTGAGTAGACTGATAAATCAATGTGATGATCAGTTATTAATCTCAGTGTTACTGAGCTCTGCTAAAGCCTGAATAGACTGATAAATCAATGTGATGATCAGTTATTAATCTCAGCGTTACTGAGCTCTGCTAAAGCCTGAATAGACTGATAAATCAATGTGATGATCAGTTATTAATCTCAGTGTTACTGAGCTCTGCTGAAGCCTGAGTAGACTGATAAATCAATGTGATGATCAGTTATTAATCTCAGCCTTACTGAGCTCTGCTAAAGCCTGAGTAGACTGATAAATCAATGTGATGATCAGTTATTAATCTCAGTGTTACTGAGCTCTGCTAAAGCCTGAGTAGACTGATAAATCAATGTGATGATCAGTTATTAATCTCAGTGTTACTGAGCTCTGCTGAAGCTGCGGATGAAGGTGTCTGTATTTCTAAGACATGCAAAAAACAAGTATTACCAAGATAAAGTGAATCAATTGACGTCTAGGGGTTCACATGGCTGGTATAGGTCAGTTAGGAAGCTGATTGAGGCAGCCAAAGTTAAAGATGGAGGTAAAGGTTCAGACCACCAAGAAAAGCAAAACAAATGTGACATACTTAGCCATACTTTGCCTCTGGCTGGGATGGAGTAAACTGTTCCAGACATACTGCAGAGCAATTTGAGAACAAACTGTCAAACTACTGTATCCCAGATTTCAGTACTGGTCAGGTTAAGCTGAGACAGCATCTACTGAGAAGTAGAAAAGCAGCAGGACCAGAAAATATACAGCCTTGGATTTTAAAGCAGTTCTATGAGGAACTTGCCCCAGTTTGGTGTCACCTTGTCAACACATGTCTGCAGGCTGGCTTCTGCAATCCATGCACTCCCCAAGAAGAGGCCTCCGTACCTTTCCTCAGGACTATCGCCAGATACCATTACTAAACATTGTTGGCAACGTCTTTGAAGGCCTACTTCAGAACATTTTAGTCTCATCAATAAAAGTCAGTCAATCAATAAAATTGTCACAGCACTGCTTTGTGAAGAATAGGTCTACTGTGTCCACTCTGGTCTACATTTTTCAGAGCTGGCATAGTGCTGTGAATGAAATTCCAAGATGTGATGTTTAAGCTACCTTCATTGACTTTACACAAGCATTTGATACAGTTGATCACTGCTGGCTCTTGTCTACTATCGTGGATCTTGGCATTGCAGGTTCACTGTGGAACACACTTAAGAGCTGTCTCGCTGACCGAGTGCTGAAGGGCAGTGGGGATCCTGCTGGTCTCAGCCACAGGCAGTGCTTGCTGGAGTGCCTCAAGGTGGTGTCTTGTTGTTGTTTGTGCTTTGTTTCAGTACTGTGTATAGTGCGTCCTGTAAAATATGCTGATGACCTGGCCTTAACAGACACAACAATGGGCCAGTTGCCTGGTTGCACCCAATCTGCCGTCGATGCAGTTGCAAGCTAGAGCCATGATTAATACACGGTCCTTAGCTTTAGGAAAGAGGGAACCAGAGTTGAGCTGGTCAATGGTCAATGCATTGAGTGGGTAAGAGCTTCTTAACTCTTCAGGGTCCAAGTCTCATCTGATTTATCATGGGATGCACATGTTATATACATCCTGAAGAAACTGCAACCCAGGTCTTAATATTCAAGAATGGCAAGTTGTGCTGGGCTCCCTACAGAGGTCCTGGCGCAGGTGTATGTGTCCTTCATAAGACCCGTGCTGGAGTAGCTACTAAAGCCTGAGTAGACTGATAAATCAATGTGATGATCAGTTATCAATCTCAGTGTTACTGAGCTCTGCTAAAGCCTGAGTAGACTGATAAATCAATGTGATGATCAGTTATTAATCTCAGTGTTACTGAGCTCTGCTAAAGCCTGAGTAGACTGATAAATCAATGTGATCAGTTATCAATCTCAGTGTTACTGAGCTCTGCTAAAGCCTGAGTAGACTGATAAATCAATGTGATGATCAGTTATCAATCTCAGTGTTACTGAGCTCTGCTAAAGCCTGAGTAGACTGATAAATCAATGTGATCAGTTATCAATCTCAGTGTTACTGAGCTCTGCTAAAGCCTGAGTAGACTGATAAATCAATGTGATCAGTTATCAATCTCAGTGTTACTGAGCTCTGCTAAAGCCTGAGTAGACTGATAAATCAGTATGATCAGTTATCAATCTCAGTGTTACTGAGCTCTGCTAAAGCCTGAGTAGACTGATAAATCAATGTGATCAGTTATTAATCTGTGTTACTGAGCTCTGCTAAAGCCTGAGTAGACTGATAAATCAATGTGATCAGTTATTAATCTGTGTTACTGAGCTCTGCTAAAGCCTAAATAGACTGATAAATCAATGTGATCAGTTATTAATCTCAGTTTAAGTTTTACATTGAATTATTTCAATGTAAAAAGTTCCATGTGTATTACCAAGATATGTTGTCATTGTATTCTGAATACATTACAATTTTATGTATGTTATTATGTTACTGGATACAATCATCACAGCCTATCCGGTGTTCAGCCATCTCTACTTTAGTGTATTTTGCTCCACCCTAACTGCACACTATATGTGCAGGTTCCAGTCCAGAACTGTCTCCATAAGATTGATGATTTTGTTTTGCTGTAAACGTTTTGGATCAAAAGGATTTCTGACTAATGACTAAAACAATAAAGACGAGATGAATGTGGAGAATGAGAGCGATGAAATACTGTTTTGTAGTTCAGAGAAAGATAGAGCAGGAAAGAAGGATGTATTTTTGACAGTGTCAGAGAGATTAAGGGGGAACTAGAGACTCATTTTATCTTTTATGTTCTAAAGATCAGAAACAAAATGTGGAAAAAAATGGTTAGAAGCTGGCTAATGATGCTTTAGCTGGCAATGTCACAGCTTCAGGTAAAAGTGGGTGAGCTTTTTTGTAATATCAGTATAATTCCACTGATAATAAACATTACATCCATAACCAGCACAGTTTTTCGTGCTTGGACCCCTAATAGTTGCAATAGTAGTCAGATACAGCTAGTTTAATATAATGTACATAATAATTTGTAAAGAGACTGTTTATATGTGTACATTTAACTGTATGTGTCTATAACAATAATAATAAGAAGAAGAAGATGAAGAAGAAGAAGAGGAAAAAGAAAAAGAATCTATAAATTTAAAAAATAGTAATAAATACTAAAATCATAACCAGTACATTCGGTGCTTGGACCCCTAATAATTGCAATAATTGTAAAATCCATGTAGCCTAATATAATTTACATACTATTTTACATCCTCATTAACATACATGTTTATATAGCAAAATATAATGTGTATATATATATATATATATATATATATATATATATATTATATTATTTATTTATATATATATTATATTTTTTGTTACATTACACAGAATATTATTATTGTTTTTTCATGCAAAGTTACTATTTTGGAGTTTTTTAAGAAAGTATCATTGGAACTTTTCAGCAAAATTAACCTTAAAAAGTGGAATAAACAAACAAATAAACAAACCTGCATTTCACTTTCTGCCTTGCAGCACGTAAACTAAAGAAGATTGGGCAGCTAAAGGGTCCGGAAGAGGAGGGTCCATCTCTGGGCATGGTTCCGGGCTCCGGTCTGATTGAAGTGACCCCTCCATCACCCAAACTGGGCCTGACCTTCCACTCCCAGCACGTGTTTCTGAGCATCCTGGAGGCCATCGAGCCTGAGGTGGTCAATGCCGGACACGACCACGGTCAGCCTGACTCCGCCGCAGCTCTGCTGACCAGCCTCAATGAGCTGGGAGAGAGGCAGCTCGTCAAGGTGGTCAAATGGGCCAAAGGACTACCAGGTGAGTTGGGTAACCAGGTGTGGAATAGACCAAGTTACCAAGTGATATACTCTGTGTGGCCACTTTATCAGAAACACCTACCTTGGAGTTATGTTCATTGGCCATTTTATCAGAAACACGTACAAAAACACATAGATCCACTATATAGATGTACAATAATTGCCTGTAGCCCATCTATTGCTGCACAGTTTTTCAGCCACATGGTATCACAAGTGACAGGAAATTGACTGAGGCAGAGAAAATTAAAGGATGATCGCATCTCTCTTTACCCAGTTTGGGTTAGAAGCAACAACATTTACATTTACGGTATTTAGCTGATGCTCTTATCCAGAGCGGCTTACAGTTCGATCATTTTTATACAGGTAGGTGAAGGTGGTGTTAGGAGTCTTGCCCAAGGACTCTTATTGGTATAGTATAGGGTTGTTTGCCCAGACAGGGGATTGAACCCCAGTCCACAGCGTAGGAGGTAGAGGTATTACCCACTACACTATACCAACCACCAACAACAAGCTTATCAGTTAAATACATTACTGTGATATTACTGTGTTTATTTTGTTCCTTCTCATTTTTGTACCTCCAGTATTTTAAGCTATACTCTCACTACTAAACAGACAAATGGAAGGAGTGTATGCAGGCATTAAAGCTCGGGATCTGAGCCTTATTTAGTCTCCTAATTTTTTAGAAAATCTCCTTTTACACAATTTAAAAATCAGTTTCAGAAAGTTTCATTTTCCTGTTAAAGTTGCTCAGATTCTTCTAGGAAGCTGCCGTCTTGATTTCTGAACCTTTTTTTTTCTCTGCTCATTAATATGCGTGTCAAAGCTCACTCTATTTATACTGCACAAATTTGTCAACTTTGTTTGACATACTTCCATCTATTGCCCCACTTGCCAATATCACTTAACATGAGAACAGTGACTGACGCACAATACCAGCTGCTCACCTTCTCTGTAGTTCTACATCACACCTTGTTTAAATAGCTGATTTTAATGGGATATATATGTAATCCTCAAAGAACACAGTCACTTAAGTAGCCTATAATCTACCATTTTGTTTCAGAAAACAGTTTATTTACCTCCCCAGTGTTTTATATGTTTCTTACTTCTCTTAATTTATCTAAGCCCATTCATAACATCTGTGTCAAAAACAGTCATAATTCATCTTTGTACAGGAATATTTTCAAGCTTTGCTTTATCCCCCAGAATTAAACAGGCTGTTTTTTTTTTCTTACTGTGCCTTTAAGACTGAAATATGTAAATAAGCTCAGTTGTGATTGGCTGTGCCTCGTTCAAAAAGTAATCTGGATGTGAATGGGTGGAGCTAAACTGCTGTAGGATGAATAGTAAATGTTACTAACAGGTGGATCAGAGTAAGCATACAGCCTTGCAGTCTACATAGACAAACACTGGCCGTAGAGGGTTGAACAGATGAGCTCAGTGACTTTAAACATGGCACCGTCATAGGACGCCACCTCTGACACAGTCAGTTTGTAAGATTTCTGTCCTGCTAGTTCTGCCCCAGACGACTGTAAGTGCTGTTATTGAGAAATGGTAGCGTCTAGTAGCAACAACAGCTCAGCCTTGAAGCGGCAGACCACACAAACTCACCACCGAGTGCTGAAGCTCACTGTATTTATCCTCTGTTGAATCATCACTAAAGAGCTCCAAACTGCCTCTGGAAGCAGCATCAGCACCAGAACTGCACATTAGGAGCTTCACGAAATGGGTTTCCATGGCTGAGCAGCTGCACACAAGACTAAGATCACTATGCACAAAGCCAAGCGTCAGATGGAGTGGAGTAAAGTGCCTCCACTGGACTCTGGAGCAGTGGAAACGTATTCTGTGGAGTGACCAATCACACTTCTCTATCTGTCAGTCTGATGGACGAGTCTGGGTTTGGAGAACGTTACCTGCCTGACTGCACTGTGCCAGCTGTAAAGTTTGGTGGAGGAGGGATGATGATATGGGGTTGTTTTCAGGGGTTGGTCTAGAACCCTTAGTTCCAGTGAAGGGGAACCTTAATGTTTCAGCACCAAGACATTTTGGACAATTGTACACTTCCAACTTTTTGGGAACAGTTTGGGGAAGAACCTTTTCCTGTTCCAGCATGACTGAGCCCCAGTGCACAAAGCAGCTCCATAAAGGCCTGACTGGGTGAGTTTGGTGTGGAAGAACTTGACTGGCCCTCGCAGAGCCCTGACCTCAACCCCATCCAACACCTTTGGGATGAACTAGAACGGAGATTGTGAGCCAGACCCTCTCGTCCAGCATCAGTGTCTGACCTCACAAGTGCTCTTCTGGATGAATGGGCAGAAATTCCCACAGACTCTCTCCAACATCTGTAGAAGCTTCCCAGAAGAGTGGAAGCTGTTAGAGCTGCAAAGGGGGACCAACTCCATATTAATGCCTATGGTTTTGGAATAGGACGTCCAACAAGCTCGTATGGGTGTGATACATAGGTGTCCACATACATTTGGTCACATAGTGTATATTCTTGTTGACGAGGTCATGTTGAAATTGTTTGGACTGTAAACTGACCGCTGCAGGGCCGTGAGCCGCGGGCCGGCTCCGCGGGATTGTTTGCTGTTTTGTGTCTGGAGCAGACGCTGGTTCTGATGCAGCACTGCTGTGGCTCTGTTTGTCTGGTAGAGCTGATCTGACGTGAGCTCCTCCACATCTGAACGGCTCTAAAGCTCCATGAGCCGCTCCACTAAAAACAAATTTGGACAGGAGCTAAATGCTAATGAGGCTAGTGGACAATCATCAAACGCTGAGAGAGGAAAGGAGGTGTGGGGTGTGGGGGGTGTGGGGGTGGGGGGGGGCAGAGGGAGAGAGGGTGAGAGCATTATTAACAATAACATGTATTAACAGTAATATTAAATATTTTTTATTTTTTGCTTTTTAATTTAATACATTGAATATTAATTTAATCAGAACTTCATTATGATGTCAATTTTATTAAAATTTCATTCTGGATGGTAATTTTAAAATAATTTAATTTTGGCTGTTAATTTTATCAGAACTTCTTTCAGGATATTAATTTTATTATAATTTCATTTTGGATGTTAATATTATTAGAAGTGCACTCTGAATATTATTTTTATTAGAACTTTATTCTGGATATTAATTTTTAATATAACTTAATTTGAGATATTAATTTTATTATAACTTAATTCTGGATGTTAATTTCATTAAAAAGTAATTTTTGACATTAATTGTCTTAGACCTTCACTCTGAATATTAACTTAACTTCATTCTGGATATTAATTTTATTATAATTTCATTCTGTATGATCATTTTTTAGAACTTGATTCTGAAAATTAATTTTATTAGAAATTAATTATGGAAATTAATCTTATTAGAACTTCATTCTGGATATTAATTTTATTATAATTTCATTCTGTATGATAATTTTTTAGAACTTGATTCTGAAAATTAATTTTATTAGAAATTAATTATGGACATTAATTCATTAGAACTTAATTCTGGATAATAATTTCTTAGAATTTTATTCTGAAAATGTATTTTATTAGACCTTAATTATGGAAATTAATTTTATTAGAACTTCATTCTGGATATTAATTTTATTAGAACTTCATTCTGGATATTAATTTTTTCAAAACATCATTCTGAATATTACTTTTATTAGAATTTCATTCTGGGTGTTAATTTCATCAGAACTGAATCTTGAATATTTTTTTATTAAAACTTAATTCTGGATATTAATTTATGAGAATTTCATTCTGAGTGTTAATTTTATTAGAACCTCATTCAGGATGTTAATTTCATTAGAACGTCTAAACTTCTAAAGGTAAATTTAAATGTTAAAGCTTCATGCTGATTAGTTGAGAGCTGTGACCTTGTAGAATATGAATATTCCATTATCTGCAGAATGGCAGGTTTCATATTATTGAATATGTTGATTCTAAACAGTAATGTTGGTCTTGCTGGAGCCTCTGGACTCACTGCATATTCATATCTCCACATTCCACATTCATACTGTACTGTTTCCCACGAGTGAGGTCAGAATGACCCCACAGTCTGACTTTTTCCATTTCTTCATGACCGATGACCAGAACGGCTCTCTGAAATGCCTGACCCATCACCGTCTCGATGAGTTATGTGAAAGAACCCCTGCAGGAATTGTTTATAGAGTGTAGTTTAGGCTGAGTAACTACAACAGTAAATGTCAGCTGACCTCTCTATCAGCCTTTGTGACCGCACCATCACCTGCCCAGCACTCCCTAAATTATGATTTGATATCCTAAAGTGAGCAATTTGTCTGCGATCACATTTTACTGGAGCTCTTATTTCAAAGATTTGTAAGGCAGCCAGGTTTCTAGTGAATAGTGTAAATAAGTGAACAGGTCCTCCACAGAGAACACACTACTGTACATTACACACACTTTCTGTTTATCAGGATTATTAGAGTTTTGAAAATGTCAGTTTTTTATTTCTATTTAGTTTTTGATTGCAGTTTAGTTTCAGTTTGTTTAGGTGTATATTAGTACTTTTAATTTTGTACTTATTTTCTGAAAATTAATAGTTTTAGCTTCATTTTTTTTTTCATTTTCATTTAAATTAGTTTTGCAGTGGCTAATATTTTTGATTTGGTTTATGTGTTTTTGAAAACGTTCATATTTATTTTTATTACAGATAATAAGCACATTTTTCACTGCTAGGTTTGATTGTAATAATAGTTTTAGCTATCTTTAATAAACATACAATTAAATATGTTGTCGAAAAAAATAAAACATAAAATGTGACTTGTGCAAAAGTTATGGAACTATTTGTTTTTTTTCACCAAATGATAATTGATTGTAATTTAGCAAAAACAATTTAAATCAATATAATAGTTTATCCATTCATATATATTTAATATGTCATTAAATAAATTAATATTAATTCATTTTTTTACATATCTACATTATTTTACATTTTTAAAAATTAAAATAGTAAACTTTCAAAAAATCTCTATATAAAAACTAGATTAAAAATAAT